CACTCAGTCTCACTGTGCATTTAAATCTGGCAGCCCAGGAAGCAAGGGATCACCCTGCACTACAGGTGGAGCCCCTCACAGCACACAGATGGCACCTCTGCTTCAGAACACTCGGCTCAGCACTGATTTGTCCAGGTTCAGTTCCCTAAAGGCCTTTCAGTAGTTTAAGCAAACCCTCAAAAGCACGTCAATAGTTTCAGACAAAAGACCACACGGGAAAAAAGTTTTAATCCAAAGCTTTATAGCCTTAACACACACATAGGGGCATGTTCAAATATTTGTGTCCTTACTACATCTGTCTGCTGAGCTTTATTTTGAAAATTTCAAAGCCACCCTTAAACACTCAGAGTACTCATTTTATTTGATGACTGATTTTCCAACATTTTTAACAGTATTAGATTTTCTTGTTAATCAGCATCTGTGCCACAAACAGCATTATGTATTTCATATTTACAGCTTCAAATATTCATCAAGCGGTCATAAGTATTCAAAAAGCTCTTTAGAAAAACAGTGCATTACTGAGTAAAATCAAGTATCATAATACATCTCTGATCTTGTAGTCAGATCAACACAGATCATCTCTCTCCAAACAAAAAGCCATTGGCACTCATTAATGATTTTTGCATCCCAGATAGATTTCTTTTTTAAAAATAATCACTACAAATACAGACCTTTTTTATCTTATTCCGTACTCCACAACTCTAAACAGCTCATTTCCACTCTTCCAGAGAGCTCTTGGATTGGTTTGTACAAGACCTTGTTTTAATGATACTTCATTATAATAAGGACAAAAACATCTCATTTTGCAATCTCCATATCAAATTTCACGCATGCATAAGTAAGGAATATTCCAAGATGAAAAGTTACTCAGGGAGCATCCATTCTCATAATTCGTGTCTTTCATCTTATACCACTAAGAAGCTTTTACCTAAAACTTAGGTTGCACTTGCAGAAACTGGAATACAATTAACATTCTATTATCCATGAGAAGATTATGTAAATTGTGGGTTAAGCAGGGTCAGCTTCTTTTACCGAAACACCCCTGGCTTCCACAAAGTACAGTGCTGCTTCTATAAGACCCTGCACTTACTATCTGTCACTATCGTAAGGCTGACCTTGTTTCTCCACAGAAAGCAATCCACTAATTTTAAAAAAGGTGCATATTCCAAGTGTATGTATTTATTCATGTTACCTTCTCTCCCCTCTATCTACATTATCTTTTCCCTCTCCAAATGAGTGTTATGAATAGCATAGAATTGACTATCTCTACAACAAATACTCAGTCTTAAGATATTTTGATATAAAAATCCTCTGGAGATCTCTAGTACTCAAAACAGAACTTTATTTGAAATTCTTAACAAACATTTTTGTTCCCAAGTATTTCACAAGCTGTCAGTGACCCCAGTGAAAAACAGCTTTCAAGGAAAAACACTGCTACGAGCTTCCCCCCTAACCTGTCTTTCCCCACAAACCATGACCACCAGAATAACCAGTATTCCAGAGGTTGAGGGGTTTCCCTGGGAGACCAGATTGCTATGACTAAGCTGATGGACTCTTCAGGTGGCAAACCAGGGCTGTCAATGGCTTTTGAGTTTTGGGAATTCCGGAGGTTCAGTGGGGAAAGATGAGTTTAGTTTCACATGGGAACAGGATTAACAGTAAGATAAGGGATGTCAGCAAACGAGTTCTTGTCCTCTCACCACTCATATCACTCAGCAAACATTCCACCCAAGGATCTTAAAAAATTGGAAGAAAAAGCATAACCCAACTTTTATCCAAGTTGAACAAGGCAAATTAAGAGTAAAGCAGAATGTATAATGAACATCAACAGTAGCAGTTACAACCAGTATCTATTGTATACAAACTTTTTCTAGATTAACAAAATAATAAGCTTCTTAGTGTTTCACTAAGCAGATAAGTCTGTCAAAATCACTGAATGCATTTGGACAAACATAAAGCCTCAAAAGAGTGGTAACAGATGAGGAAAATTACCAGGTCAAAACACAACTTTACATCTGAGAGGAAGGTGTGGGAAAAAACCTGACACCTTTCGATCTGCCCCAAAAGAACACTGATAACTCGTGTGAAGTTCATGCCTCCCACTTTGAACATACCAAAGTGTCAGTAAATAGTATACATGACACTGATATTCTTCAGTCTTTGACACGGCTATGAAATGAGTAGATTCTTAAAAAGAACCCAGTCTATGCGTTGTGTACAACTGTGGCTTTGATGAACGGTTCAAGTCAGGCAGTTTTGTAATTAAAAACAACAGAAGAAATAGAAAAGCAGACAGATTAAGTGGCTTGACAGACACCAGAGATAAGATCAGTGGACAAAAAGCAGAGTTACTGCTCAAATCCTGGCTCAGTGTTTAATAAATTAAATCTCAATTGCATCCTTTACAATGTGTCCCTTCTGTCTCATTGTCAATATTCGTAAATCATCAGTCTTTGATGCTTAAAAACTCTGAAGTGTGTTTGGCTTAAGTGTTCCTTGTGGTTGGGTTCTTTTTCCTTGTCTTTTTTTTTTCTAATTTAAACAGAAATTCAGCAACCTCAGATTCAATCATATGAATTGAATACTCTTCTCAGTAGCAAATTGACTGTAAGGATACAGCTCAAGAGCATTTTAAGCAATCTTAAGCCTGGTATCACCTCTAAATGCTTCTTCACCACATTTGGGGAGGCACATGGGGAACCAGATTGCAGAATCACTCCAGCTGGAAACTAACATAACAAAATTATACGGATTATTTTCAGCCACAGCATTTTCTTGACTTAGCTTACTGCCTGGCTGCCAAAAAACTGTTTCTTCTGCCAAGGGGTACACGAAAACAAGGACAAACGCAATAACGAAAGCAACATCTTTTCCTCCTGTGGCAGCAACAACTTATGCCACTGTAAAGTATTTGCGTAGCCATGGATTTAAAAAGGTATGGCATTCATTCCTGCCAAGGCAACTCTTTCCCTGGCTGTGAACTAACCTGTTTGCTAAGTGACTCATTCTTAGGAAAAACTTTGTTATTTATTTTTTTTAATAAAACAACTTCACAGCACTGAGGTAGACAATGGGAGCGTGCACAACTGAACTGGCAGACCAGAGAGCACCTCTTTGAGATAAAGAGCTCATTTTAAAGCAAATCTACTGCCAACAAAGTAGCAGAACCAGTCTTGGAAAAGGTCGTAATTCAAAGAGGACAAAGATTCCCAAAGAAAGTTTTTTTAAAAGAAAAAATATATATACACGTTTATTTTTAATTTAAGCTTTAGATTTTGGAAAGCAATGTTGTTTTGCCAAGATTTTGTACCCCACACTTCATCCCCTGTTCCCCTACCTTTTGTTGCTTTCCTCTTTAAGAGTCAACCCCAAAATATGAACGATGCAAGTGGAGAAACAAGAGTAAACACTTTAAGGAATCTGAAATTAAACATTTAATCTACTTTTATTTTAATCACCAAAGAAACTGGTACATATCAGTCACTGACGATGCACTGCAACTACAGCATCTGGCTACATTGACTTAGCATATTTGGTACTGTTACTCATAACTTAGATTTCCACAGTCAAGGTTTTATATTGGTGTATAAAAGAAAAAGCAAAAGTGAAAAAAGTTTCCTGTAGAAATAAATAGTTACTATTGCACCCTGGTCTATATTTTATAGTCCAGGTGGCAGGTCGTGACACCTCTTCGGGTTCAATTTATGCTCCTCAAAGCCTTAGAAATGTTGTTAGAGCCGCCAGGAATTTGCCTACAGAGCCAACTCCAGCTCCAAAGATTACTGCTCTGATTATGTAAAGACACCAATTTAAACTTGAGTACTTTTTAAATGTTAACTCTTGCTATAAAGTGTTTGTGGGCATTCCTGGCCTCAAATCAAACATCCTAGGCACTAAGCACCACTGGATATGTTCATTACATTGCTTCAGAGATGTACAAATTAGTTTTACTGCCCTCTATAAACACCTATCTCTATAGTAATTTTGCAAATAAAGATGCCAAAGGGTTTCTCTAACTCTAGATTGGGGTTCTGGATATCTGCTGGATATATTTCTGCTCACTACATCAAAAAGTTGACTTCCTCACACTACCGAAACACTCCAGAATTGCACTTAAAATAGGAAAGAGAAGAAAGAAAAGCCATTTCAAGACTGCCTGTTCCACATGTTCTTTCTAGTCAGCAGTTCCAACGCCAGCACCCCTGTGATTGCAGCCCAAATCCCATGGAACTAGTCAGGTCTCGCAGATTCACAGTTTCCTAAGTTCCTAATGCTCAGCCCTTGGAGCTCAAAACAACTGGCTAACAACTATAACACATGGTAATGGAAAAACAGAGCACATGGCTTCTGTTGTTACTGCTCATCCTGTTGGCCAAAACCAGGTATGTAATTAGGTAAGCAGAACAGGCACGTGCATATTAAGGAAGCTTTAGAAATGTAAAATAGTGGCTAACACCTCACTCCCAATAAAACACTGTGCTATGAGACAATCCCTGCTTTATAATCTGCCCGGAGGAGGGAAAGGAAGTAGATTTTTTCCTCTTCCCCTCCCCTCTCAAGTTAGAGTTAAAAACTGCATCCATCTCTGACACAGAACCAAGACAAACAAAAGCCACACAGAAATTACTGCTCATACTTCTGCTCATCCCTGCTCTTCAACAGTTACGCCAAAAGATTTACCCTCCTTCTCAAGATAGATAACTCACCAAAAAGAAAATCCAATTCATCCCACATGTTACCCTCTCTGATTTAAGCCTTGGCACAACAACTACATTAACACACTAGAAAGCGTTCAAAGGCTCGAAGGCATCTAACAAAACACTCTAGTTTCAGTGAATGATAAGGTTAACTATTCTTTCAGCACCTTTTAACGACCAGTAACTTGGCGAACACCAAGCCTGCAATGGCAAATAGCTGTGCTGTTTGTGCAAACAGCAAACACCACAATCACATTGACACAAGCCAACTGTATTTAACAAACAAACTCGCATCACTCGTACCGGCAGGTCCACGCTGACGTCCGTCCCGTCCAGCAGCGCTACTCGGCAGGTGATGATGGATTTTGCATCACCAGCCGCAGGGATGTGGGTGGCGGCCCTTTGGGCCTCTCTCAGCCGCTCCTTCTCCGCATGTTTCCGCATGGACCGCCGGCCCAGCGTGCGACGGAAAAAACTCAGCATCTTTGCTACGAAATCCAAGAGAGAAGGAGAACATGTTAGCTTTTTACAGGAAAAAAAATAGCCTGCATTAAAAGTTCTTAGAAAATAGCAGACTTTAATAAAGACGTGTCAGAGAGTCAAACAGATGTTCCACTCTGGTTTAAACATCCTCAGTCTTCGGCTACTTTTGAAAAACAAAACAAAACAAAAAACAACCCAGCTCAAACCTTTAGCGGTGGTTGGGTGATTCTTTCGGGACGATCTAAAAGTACTTTTAGGAGAAAAAACCAGCGATCGCGTAGATCTCCTGCAATTATCTGCGATCTTCCCCTGAAACAAACGCTCCCTCACACTCCAGAGAGGCGGGGATGTTCCCTGAGAGCTGGAAAGCAACTGAGCCCTACATTCCACCGGCTACTTTCCTGGCTGACAAACTCCACCTCTCATGGAAAACAAGCGATAAGCGACCCCTTCCCGCCCCGGAGCGGCGCGTGCAGTTTTTCCCACAGGGAAGGCTCTATCAGGACCGACGAGCGCCTCTCGGGCACAGCCGTTCCCGTCCCACCGTTCCCGTCCCGCCAGGGCTGCGACCGGCGCCGGGCCGGCCCCTCCGGGTCGGGCAAACAAACACCTGGAGCCCAGCGAAGACTCAGCGCCGACCCCGCGGGCGGACCCAGCCGGGACGCGGCCGCCCCTCAGCGCGGCCGCCGCCCCGCTCGGCTGCCCCTGCCCTTACATAACGCCCGCTCGGCGGCCCCGGCGGTCGGGCGGCCTCACCTGCCGAGCGGCCCCGCGGCGGGAGCGGCGCAGCCGGGGCGACGGGAGCGTCCCCGCGGCGGCTCCTCCAGGCCCCGGGGGCGGGCGGGGGGCGGCGAGGGAGCCCCGGGAGGGGCCGGGCCGCCGGACGTGGCGGAGCGACGTGGGAGGCCCTTAAACGGGCGGCGACGCGCCGGCCATTCCCTTCCGCTCCGCGCTCGCTCACCTGGCCGCTCCCGCGGCCGCGCTCTCCCGCTGAGCCGGGGCGCGGGGTTGGAGGCGGAGGGCGGCGGGCAGGGAAGGCGGCAGCCGGACGGGAGAGGGAACGCTATGCTTGCCGCCGCGCCGGGCGGCCATCGCCCCTTTAACGGGGCGGAGCCCGGTGGCGAAGGGGCTCCCCCTTCCCGTGCCAGGTGGTTTCGCCCGGCGGAGGGGCGCGGCGGGGGGCGCGGCGCGGACCACGTGCTGCGCCGTGGGGGGAGCCTGGACCTGCCGGGAGCGGTGGGGCAGCGCCTGGAGCGGGGGCAGCTCCCCGGGAATTGAGGCTGGGGCACGCGTTCCGTTTCGAATTGTTTCGCTCAGTTTCTGTAGTTTTGCTAACGTGTCGTAGAGGTTTGGCTCCGCGGCGGCTCGGCCAGGACTGTGACCAGCCCTCGGCTGCCCAGCGGGGACTGGAACCTTCAGGCAAACGCGCGCCTAAACCATTAAGTTTAGAAGAAAAGCGCCTCTTCAAACACTGCCTGCAAGGACAGCGGGAGCAGTGTATTAAATAAAGCAGAGCCGTCTACCAGCGAACACTGTTACTACTTATACACTGAAATACACTGAGATTCGCGACTACAAAATGCAGTTTGTATTCTAAGGTCCTTCAAAAACACCAGCACAGCCTGTCTCCGTGATCCGCGGTACTTCTGTTACTTCTCTTACGTGTTACTCCAGTCCCGGGGGACAAGCCCTGCTCCTTGGCAGCAATTACAAAGGGCTGGACCTCACTGTGTTTTTCTTAGTACATAAATATTTGTGTCCAAGCCAGTATTTGAGATCTCCAAATGGAAAACTTTAGGAAAGGCAATATAAACTCTGCGTGCATAGTGCCAGATAACAGTGACAAAGCTCTGAGTAAAAGAGCTCCAAATTCCTTAAAAATCCCAGGATAAATAACAGGCTGGGAAAGCAGAGACTTTGGCTAATGATAACACAGCATTTTCTACGCTCAGCTCTCAATCCCGGCCTGAGATAATCAGTCACTCACCTGCCATGCAGAGGAACTGGCATAACGAAACCCACATTAGGACCATGCCGTGGCACAATCAGCCCCAGTTACCGTCATGTAAGCCGCTAAAATGGAGAAAAAAAAGCTTCCAGGTAATTGCCCGCAATTTGCTGAGGAAGCAACAGGCTGATTTTCATGTTAAGTACCTGTGTTGACAACTGAGCAATCCTCCTGCTGCGAGCAGAAGCAAGGCAAGCTTAGGGGAAAGGTGAGATTCAGGTTCGTGCCTGAATATTTATTCAAGATACTTTTTATCAGTCTTTTGCTTGCTCCTGGCAGTCTGTCATGAAATACATGTGGGAGCTTGCAATAAAGTTCCCAAAGAAGCCATACAAAATCTTACTGTATTTAATGTGGAAAAAATAATTTATAATTTATCTGATGAATTCTCAGAGCAGATCAATTAACTGATCATTTGGATGTCAAGCTGCTTAGTTTGTAGTGGAAATCTGTGAGGTAAATACATAGGAGTCTCCGTGCTATTACATCTACACAAATTCAAATTTTCCTATTACACAAAGAATTCTGGTGAAATCCCTGATTCTTGGAGGTTGTTCCTAAATTTTCTAACCACCTTCAACTATTTCCTCAATTTGAGCTTCTTTCACAAGCTCCCATGTTGCCACCAAGAACTCCTTCCTTCCTGTTTCCTTCCTGTAGCTTCAGCAACACAAACTTCTGCTCATTTTTGTGCTTCATACTTCACATCAGCCTCGTGCTACTCTTCGTGTAATTACAGTCTACTCCTTCCTCACTGTTTGCTACTCAGTGCTATACAGTCCAAGTATATGCACATTCAGCTGTGGCATCTGTGACTTGTCTTCCATCCAGTCTTCCTATGCCAAGTTTAAACAAACCCCTTCCTACTGAATTTCTCTTTTCTGTTTTTCTCCTTGAAATTCTTTCCCATTAGTTTATCTTTTTGTACTTCAAACACCTTGTCCTCACTTTAAAGTCCTACATTAATCAGTGAAATTTAGAACACACAGCGATCTCTTAGATGCTCATCCTGAAATTTTTGTCTTGCCTTTTAAGTCCTCTCATCATCTTTTCCCACTTATGCTTTGAACATCCCCCCACTTTTTGGCAGTAAGTATTTCATCACAAGCTTCCATCTGGGATTTTTGTTCTTTGCATCAGCATTCCTCATTACCATCAATTTTGGGATCAGACTATAATCTCTATTGAACACTGTCTCCAAATCACTCACTGTATAAAAGGTAATTAAAAACTTATTCTTCCATTAGAGAAAAACTTTCAGTATATAAATTCATGGAAAAAAATGTAGGCTGACACTGTAACCAAATAATTTAATTCCTGATAATTTAGCATCCTCTTCTAGTGCTCTATCCATAGGGATGTATTTATGTCATACAATGTCAAGAAGTAAAATACAATGTGAACATCATCTGGCATCAGACATGTATAAATGTAGCACAGTAAAACCGTGTGTAGAGTAGCAAGAAAATCACACAAAAAATTAAACTTTAAATTACTAAAGCACATCTTTATTTTGCAATTAAACAATTAAGATCCACAAGTAAACTATATATATATTTTCAAGTCTGTACCTAGACAACTATTTGTCAACTGAAATTAAATATATCCACAAAATATGCATAACAGCATTTTTTCACATAATAGAATGAAATTTTACTTAAGACTAAAACAAGACTTGTTAAATGTTAATTAGCATATTTATCCTGGGAACTGCTGGTTTTCGGTAGAAATTAGTGTATCATTTTAATGGCAAGAAATTTCATTTTATCAAAATGAGGACAAATACATAAGGCCCTTTAAAGCATACAGTAGCTGCAGTGACAAAAGCTGAATTTATTTTCACATTGTCCAGTGTTGACCAATTTCAAGTTTCAATCATTTGCCATCAACACCCCGGCTGCTTAGCCAAGATGGTGCATTTAGGTTGTTGGCTTGTTTTTTTTTTCCTCCCCCCCATGTGCTTTTAAACAAATTTATAGGCAAAAGTCTACTTATGGGAAGAACCTTTGCATCCCCCCAACGTTAATTAAGATACACAAGAGTTAGTCCAAACAACAAAAGAGCTGTACAAGTCTGAGATGATTTACTCCACACTTGCAGTCCATCATTCAGCAGTATGAAACTGAGATGAAATTTGACAACTGAAAGCCGCAGCTGGAAATGCAAATTAATTACCAGAAGTAACTAGCAAAAATATTGCCACCATCTGATTGTTAATAATGATCTAAATAATATTCTTCCCTTTGTATTTATACATAGTATAGCACCTGTTACAGAAAAGAACCCCAAACCTTACACAAACAGCCCTGCCAAATTGACTGGTTAAAATGGGATCGCTGGTAAATGAAGCAAACCAAATGGAAAACAAATCTGGATACACCGGATAAGACAAAACCTTCACTCTCTTACCTTAATTTTCCTGTAAGATTATTATGGGTTGTTCCTGTGGTGCCTCAATGTACCGAGATAATCACACTGGATCATTTATAGTCTAGTCTTTGTGGATATATTCTAGTTAAAGAAAACAACAGCTCAATGTAAACTGTTTAACCCTTTCACTCATGTCTCAGGCCCCTGGCCTTGGTGTAAAAGGGTGACTTCTTTAAACTTCTTTGTGCATTACCTTTAGTTACCAAAATTCAAATAAGTTAAGTAAAAAAAAAAAAATACTGATTTCCAGGTAATTGATCTAATGTTAAAAATAATGCTTAGCAGAAACACTTACAGTAAACATAGCTAATTTGCAGCTCACTGAGAGAGATCACAGAGATAGGTTTACAAGTACCCTGTAGGCTTCTATTTGCACCTTTTTGTTTCCTTCCTCCCACACCCCAAATGCAGGCTTCATATTCTTTTTAAGACAGGAAAATTGAGATGACAGAATTATCTTGCTAATATCTATTTTCTGAAGGTCCCTCAGAAACACATGAACAATAAACAAGAAATGGCTGGAACAAGAGAAAGCATTCGTACCAGGGTGTAATCCAAATCATCTCTGCACAGAAACCCATTAAGCATCTCTCTCCAACCCCAGTTTATTTTGTCCAATAGTTCAGTCAGTAGTAAGCATGACATAAAGTGCTACTATTCAAACATCAAAACGCTTCAAGAAAAATTACCCTTTAAAATGCGTAAGCTTGCTAAATACGAAATACCACAACCAACAAGCTGTCAGCCAGTCCGTGGAAACTTAGTTGATTTTACAGCACACCAGAATCAGAGATATTTTAGTGACCTTTTTTTAAATGATGCTACTAATCGAAAAGTTTAAATTTTTTAAATTGAAAATTTCAGAATTTTTTTTTTGAGAGATTTATGTCTCCTTTTTTTCCACTGGGCACTCAATAAGCAAAACATGCCAAAGTCAATAGCCAGAGCTTACAGCTTTATGCACCAGATCAAAACTTGTAGCTGGAGAAGCCTTATGAACTGAAAAGATGGACACTTGTAGGAGCAACAAGCACAGAGATAAAATCCAGTGATATAGAACTGGCCTCCTTCGCAGACTGCTAAACAAAAAAATGAGTTTCGATTTCTAACTGCAGTGGGATAACTGAGACTGGACAGAACAGTTACACTGAAACAAACCAACCATTTCTCCCTTCTAGCAGCTTCCCAATCACCACTAATTATAAATCCCTGCAATTTCATGCAAGATCCACAGCTAATCAATAAATATGTTTTTACCAGATTTTAATACTGGATCCTAGTGCTAAAATTAGCAATGGAAAAGAGCTTTTCCAGTCTTGAGACAAAAGATGGGTACTAAAATTGGCAAATACACCCAACTCAGCCAACTGGAGACCTGAGATGTGAGCTACAAAAAAGACTGCAACCGACCTTAGACAGCACTATTCCTGTACTCGGTGGAAGTCTAAATAAGCAAAACTTTCATCTGGACCACAATCAAATTTCTCCCTTTATCCTCAGGGCTGAGGGGCTTGAAGATTGCCTGCATAGTGGCTCTATAGTCAAAACTAGAGCATATGTATAGGACAACCCGCTTTCACTTGGAATTGGTGGATCTGTCGAGTTTTTCATGCTCATGCGAATTCCCTGAGCCATCAAACATCCCCCACACACCTGCACACACACTGCATAAGCATAAAAATATCACATAATTCAGCT